CATTTGCCAGATATCACAATCTCGCCAACGTCCACCCACGCCTCAGTCCGCATTCTTTGTGTAGTCCCCCGGGCCTCTAAGACAGCTATGATGCATTTCTGCCGTCCATTGTGCTGCAATGACGTCATGAACGAATTGAACGACTACACCAGGCAACGTAGGAACAAAGTAGCACAGAATTATAGATATATTTTAATTTATTTATGTGTGTGACTGGGTTGCTCTCCCGTGATCCAGAGATTCTGGGCACTAGCACAAATTTTAGTAAGCAAAACATTCTTCCCGGGAAATAGACCCACCCGGAAATAGTCCCACGCCGGGAAATAGTTCCAAGCCGGGAAATAGTCCCAGCCGGGGAAATAGTCCCACCCCAGGAACTCCCTGTTATACATTTGTAGAATAGACATTTTTAATTAAAAACAAAGTTCAGCAAGTGTTAGGTAGATTGTCACAGTTTGTCACTATAAGCTAAGAAATTAAAACTCTAGTTAACTGCTCTGAATTACTGTAACTTTAGTACGCGGGTTCTCAAGCGTTTTCAAGTTACCATGACATTCATACAGGAAGCAAAGTGACCCTTGCCACGATATATTGGTAAAACGGCTTTTAAATTGGGTTAATTCTTGAAAAAGGAAAACATTTTTAAATCTTAATGACCAGCTTAATGGAATTGTTGACGTACTTGGTGCAACTTGATTTTCACAAGACATCATTGTCAAACTTCCTTTACGTTATTTAATAGACATATTTAGTTTTTAAATTTCAGAAATCAACATAGTAAGACATATACATCTGATAGATACATGTTTTAACATTCCCTTTAAACAAAAATTATATATATTATTATTCGAAACAAACCCTTGTTACGGATACAATGTATGGGACACATTTGCTTGTACTTATTTAGTGGTGGATTTGAAGCTAGAATTGGCGACCTGTAAAGAAATGCGAAACTCAAAAAGTGGTGAGGTTTTTTTTTTCCTTTCTTACAAGTGTTTAAATCCGACCATTACTTAACAAGCTTCTTATTATCCAGTTATCCATTACTAGGGATAAGTAGCGGGAAATGAAGCAACTAGAAGCAGGTGACTAACCTCTCAACTAACCTTAACTTCGGTGTTGATTCCTTAACAGACAATAACACGTGAACAACTGTAGACAAACAACGCTTTAATAAGTTTAATGCTGTTCAAAATCAGCCGAGATGAGTAAAAGTTCATTCCCGTTTTTTTCCGGGATAGAGCGAATTGGGAGAAAAGTATTCCAAGATGGCACGGGTCTCGTTAAATCGGCGGTTCTAAGCCTGTGGGTCGTGAACTTTTGGGGTCGAACGACTCTTACCCAGGTGTCACCTAAAACCATTGCAAAACACATATTTATGAGGTAGCAACTAAAATAATTTTATGGTGTGGGGTCAACATGAGGAACTGCATTAAAGGGTCGCGGCATTAGGAAGGCTGAGAGCCACTGTGTTCTTTGATACATGCGGTGGTTCTTAAAAGATACAATATAAACTCCAGTACACTATAAATAAACGACCAGTGATTTGCGAATAGCTCAGTACAACATAACACAATCGACCCGTGGTGTGCGAATAGCTCAGTACAACATAACATAATCGACCCGTGGTGTGCGAATAGCTCAGTACAACATAACATAATCGACCCGTGGTGTGCGAATAGCTAAGTACAACATAACACAATCGACCCGTGGTGTGCGAATAGCTCAGTACAACATAACATAAAGGACCCGTGGTTTGCGAATAGCTCAGTACAACATAATATAATCGACCCGTGGCGTGCGAATAGCTCAGTACAACATAACATAAACGACCCGTGGTGTGCGAATAGCTCAGTACAACATAACATAATCGACCCGTGGTTTGCGAATAGCTCAGTACAACATAACACAATCGACCCGTGGTGTGCGAATAGCTCAGTACAACATAACATAAAGGACCCGTGGTTTGCGAATAGCTCAGTACAACATAATATAATCGACCCGTGGCGTGCGAATAGCTCAGTACAACATAACATAATCGACCCGTGGCGTGCGAATAGCTCAGTACAACATAACATAAAGGACCCGTGGTTTGTGAATATCCCAGTACTCTGTCAAATAATTGACCTGTGGTATGCGAATAGTCCAGTGTTCCATAAAATAAAACGACCCATAGTGTGCAAATACTCCAGTAAGCGGTCAAATAAAAGACCCGTGTTGTGCAAATAGCTGAGAGCTCGACTCGTTACCCTTACACTTAAGTTTAGATTCCTCTCATTCATTTACAGTAATTTGCATGTGATTCACAGGCTGAATAATACATGGACTTAGTAAAATAACAGAAACGGTATATTACAATAACAGTGAGTATGCGCTTGGTGTGAATTTGTTTATAAAGACAAAATGACCGTCAACGGACGTGTGCAATGACGTGGTGTACAACGGGTGGGTTTTGAGAGCCGCTGCCGACATGTGACGGTTGAGTGACTTGGAAACCTCTCGGGACGAAGATCTAAAGCTAAACTTTATGCAACAGGCGCCACCTGGTGCGCGCCGTATCAAAGTCCCAACAACTTCTAGGCCATGTCGTTGGCCGGGGAAGTTGAGTTCCTCCTAAGCTTAAGTCCATAATTTTCTCTACAAGAGTTGAGTGGTAAGCCTGTTCGCTTCGATCCGAAAAATGTTTAGTCTGACCTGACACAACAGAGAAGCAGACCATCAACCGTATTAGTATTGTGTGGTTAAGTGTGGATTATGACATACGATAGATTAGGTTTGATGGGGGGAACTATTCCCTTCGTGCAAAGTCTCGTGTTTTTAAATTGTAATTTTTACGTTTATTTCAAGACAAGACGTTTGACTCACGTGCTACAGAGTGCCCGACCAAGGGAAGGAGTGGGGGGTAGGGGGGTAACATACTTCTAGTCCCTTAAGTGCTCATGCCACTGATACCACTAAACCTAATGTCAGCTTACTATACCATCCATGATGATGGATATATTTTTTTTAAAAAATTAATTAAAATCAAATTAATAAATTAGGTGACTAGAAAAATGAACACAATCAGTTAATTTGTATGACGTAATACAACATCTATCATGGTTCGCCCAAGCAGTCCAATAATCTCTAATTACCTCACCTTAAATAGACTCAACAATTAGCAGACGTTTGCAGGTCAACAGACTGAGTCACCCCCGGCCTCGCAGCTTGAAGTTACGCGGCGGCTTGTCAGAGGGTGTAACTTAAGCCATGCGTCTTCCCGCACCCGCGCCCCCCGCCACCCACCAAACCCCGTGTATCGTGGTGTCAGGTGTACTGAAATACCTCGACTTACTTTTCAACGCACATTTATTTATGTCGTTGGTAGGTGTCGCTAAAATGTCTACCCTCTTTGACCCACTCACACCTCACCCCCACGAATTCCATTCCTTACATTGCCAAACTTTGACCCCTACATCAGAAAGTCGAACCCACCTCCTTACATAACTATTTATGCGATTAAATATTCCTGACCCGCGGCTCCTTTCAGGGTACCATTGTGAGTCTCCATTTCGTCACATGAGATAAGTGTTGGGCTGCGATATAAAGCTTTTTGAGTAGATTAACGAGTCACAAACAATCTGTGCAAATTAAAGAATATATGTTAAGCTCTAAATATGGGTTCGCGCACTAAAGATTTGACCGCTTCGGCACATACCTTTATCTGTACAACATCATCTGGTATGTTTGATGCGAGTAATACACCTGATCGAATTTATGTGGAAAATAAATGACTAAAAAGATTTGGTACGTTGAGTCCTTAGGGCATAAACCAAATTTACAATTGTTAAACAGCTGCAGTGCCCCGTTCCTGATTTGGTTTAATCTTACTTCCACTTCCACCCAATGTCTGTCCGTTGGTCTGGGCTTTGCTTTCGTTAGGGACTTGTGCCAATTCTTATTCTTTTTCTTTTCTTTCATTTTTCTCAGGTAGGATACATATTTTTTGTTGTACTGATGAAGGCATTTCCCGAAAGTTTTAAATGTTTATTTTTGTGTAACCGTAATTAAAGCGTAACGTACATCGTGTCACGTGATAGGGTCACACCCCACACACACACAGACCGAAAATGGCGGCCTTACATGATCGCCAGGCGAGTGAGAAAAAACCTGCTTTTAATGTTGTTTTTTCATCGCCCATATTAATTAGTCCTGGGGAAATTAAGGACAAGGGTGCCACTAGCCGAGCACTAGTCCCTCCGGAAGCAAACAGAGGCGTAGGAATGGGGGCGGAGTGGGGGGGCCGGTCCGCCCAGGACGGCACACTTCACCGTAGATATTGAGTGATGGCAGTTTCGACTAAGTACAGAAATGTTTTCGTGGAAATAAATAATAATTTTTAAAAAAGGGGGGGGGCGAAAAAATGTGCTGGTTTTCCCGAGCGGTACTAACCCTAGTAACTACGCCACTGAAAGCAAGGAATCTTGATTTCTCAATCTCAACTAAACCTGTTAAATCACAAAGCTCACCAAGCCGCCCCCNCCCCCTCAGCCTCGTAAAATACCTAACCGGTTGTTAACAAAAAGCCAGACAATGGCTTAAGTACCTTACGCAAACAGAATGTTAAAATGATACCTTTCAAAGTCAAGACACCCCCTCTCCCCCCGGGCCCTGAAGTGGAGAAGACACGTGTACATATAGAAACCTAGTTTACGTGTGATATAGCCTCGAACAAAATCTCAAGGATTTTATGCGGCATTGCTAAAAACAGAAGAAAAAAGAAGCTCTTTTATGTTATTCAGGTTACCCATCGTAAAAAAACCCTAATAAATATAAAGACCAGCAACGCGTTTGGGAGAATCTCTAAGTGTATTTAAAAACTTCAATGTGTCTATTAACCGGTTCGCTTTAAGACGAAATCGCCGTCCGCGCTGTCGCCAACACTAGGGCAAATTTTAAATACTGAGGACAGTGTTGAAAAAAAAAAAAAAAACTGCCAGCTTCATTGAATTCTTGGCTTCGTGCTGGATAACAACAGTGTAGGTGGAGTCCTAGTGGATATAGTGGATTAAGTCGTTGTTTTATGTGCACATTAAAGTACGCCGGTCGTTGTTTATGCAAGGTTAAGGAGCTCGTGCACATCTCCATCAGAGTGAGTTTTTATCCTAGTGCCACTCAAGGTAGTCAACTCTGGACTTTCAGCCACGCAAAGGGAGTTCACAGTAAAACAGTTATCATTGCCATCCATTTTTTAAATTGCATTTAATTCTGCACAAGGGAGCGCATTCTGAGCATTTTGGCAAGGGAGAGTACTGCAGTTGGACAATGGACAAGGGGACCGAACTGATGTTCTTACTGTCGCTGCTCTTGCTGGTAAAAAAAAACTAATTGTGTTTTTTTTTTTTTTAAATGGGATTTTATTTTTCCTTTATAAAAAAACCAAAGACTACACTGCAGACCAATATTATGCCCAATATTATGCCCAATATTATGCCCAATATTATGCCCAATATTATGCCCAATATTATGCCCAATATTATGCCCAATATTATGCCCAATATCATGCTCATGGACTCATAATTAGAGCTGTATTATGAGAGTTATCGGTATGTAACATGGGCGTATTACCAGGAAATTATTGTGTTGACAAATTAAAACGAAGGGAAAAATTGGGGTGGGGTTCGTGGGAGAGCGAGGCATGCGTCCAGCCGCACAAACATTTGAGAAAATAATAAGGTCTATGGCTAGGATCCGATGAAGATGAACTTGTGATGTTAGGCAGCATGAGCCTTGTCCTTATTCCTCCTATCTGGTGTATCGGATGGCTGAGGACGAGGGAGTAACTGAGGATGTGAGGAAGGTGAGCCAGTAGTCGTGTGTGTGGTGTGTAAAATTGACACAGGATGGAAATGAAATGGCAAAACGAGGTACGTGGAAGCTTGAATTTAAGGACAGGACAATAAGATTAGAACATTTCAGCATAGAGCCTTCCTCGGCGCACAGGAAAAATGAAAATATCACAAGGAACAGAGCACAGTAAACAACTCAAGAAATATCCATCGTTGTTGCCGGAACGAGTGTCCTACACAGTTACTTTAGTCCTTATGTTTGCTTTAAATTTGAGTTCAAAGTCTGATTACGGCCGGCTGGTAATATTTGAGCGTAGGTTTCGAAATGAAATCTATTAAAAGAAAGTGTACCAATATATGCAAGTATAAGTCGCAATGAATCACACAAAATAACCCGAATGGACTACTTCCATGTTGAAATTTTTAATCTAAAAAAAATTTGGATTTTCAATCATCCTAGAACACTGAAGTTTGATACCAAAGATACTGATACCACCAGAGTACTTAAAAGATTTATTTAAAAAAAAAAAAAACGCATTTCAATTCAATCATCCTAGAACCCTGAAGTTTGATACCAAAGATACTGATACCACCAGAGTACTTAAAAGATTTATTTAAAAAAAAAAAAAACGCATTTCAGAGGGGACCTCGTTTGGGGGTGGGGTGGGGGTTTGGGGGGGATTGGGGACAGATAGCAAAAATCTGGTAGGGAGAATCATGCATGGCTAACGGGAAAATCCATTAGGAGAAAGTCCTTTAAAGATTAATATCTTCAGCATCGTTCAGTGTCATTCTAAAATTCCTAATGTGTTTGTTTTTTTTTTGTTTTTTTTTTTTGTTGTTTTGTTTTGCTCAGCGTTGGAGCATGCGGCAACATATTTTTTTTCAACGAATGTTTGCGTATACCTAAAAAGTTTACTATTACCACTTACCACCAAGCGACGTGGACACTCTTCATATTTTTCATGAACATTTGGTTATTGTGTTGAACGCGACAACAGTATTTCTGGAAATGGTTAAACTAGAAATGAGCTGATATCTCCGTAACGTGTTTGACATTTCTAAGACCGGAAAACGTCATATCACACTAGGTAATATATGTTACTACTTTAAGGAAAGGTTTTCGTTCAAAACATGACAGCTAACAATTTTTTTCAGCATAAACATATATACATATTTGAGATGATGTGCTTTAAAAAAAATAAAAAAATAGGTATATATTGTATAATCAATCAATTAAAGTTGACCCCCGCCCCTCGGGGAGCGAACAACGGGTGTATTCTTCTTCTTCTATTTCTTAAGGGCCCACGATCGACGTATTGAACATTCTGGCTCCTATGTATGTAGAGGGGATTCGCAATGTTTCTGTCGCTGTTATTGAAGAGGATATTAAAATGGATAGGTGCAAGTGAAAGATAAAATCAGCTTTTATAACTGAGCCCCTACCGAATCGTAATTACACAATGACGTCATTTGTTGGGTACTTTAAAAAAAAAAAAGAGTGTGTGTTAGAGTGTGGGGTGTGTAAGGGTGTGAGTGTATGAGTCTGGGGGTGTATGAGGATAGGGTTGTTTGAAGGTGTCGGGTTGGGGGGGGGGCGTGTTTCATGAAGAGGGTGTTTGACCATAGTGTGTGTTTTTTGTTTGTTTGTTGTTGTTTTTTTTGGGTTGGGGGGGTGTTTCATGAAGATGGTGTTTGACCAGAGTGTGTGTATGAGGATAGTTGGTTATGGTATCCAAAAATATGACAATACATTTGTCAGAACCTATATCCTAAGTTAAATTATCTTGGATGGCTGTCCGTGGACTTATTATAAACCTGCTATAATGCGGGCAATAATTACACTGGACAGGCGATGATAAATCTCAGAGTCAGGGCAGATAACAAAGGGTGGAGCGTGACACCAGCACCTGATACAGTGAATGAACTCCCCCTGGTAACTGTCAGTTTGTATGCTGCTTTTGTGCTGCCACACGATTATGGTCCATTGTTTCACTGCTGAGAGGAAACGTTGGGGGGGGGGGGGTGAGACGAGATGGGGGGAGCGAGTGAGAAGGGGGGGGGGGGGGGAGACGAGGTGGGGGGAGAGAATGAGACGAGTCAGGGGAGAAGGTGAGACTAGTCGGTAGAGAGAGTGAGACGAGTCAGTGGAGAAGGTGAGACTAGTCGGTAGAGAGAGTGAGACGAGTCGGAGGAGAGAGTGACACGAGTCGGAGGAGAGAGTGAGACGAGTTGGAGGAGAGAGAGAATTTGAAGGGGGGGGGGCACTGGCGTAACTGGGATGGTGCAACTCCACAAAAAAAACCAACTGCATTATGAGACATTTGTGCTAAAATGCCACCCGGGGCGGACAGCCCACTCAACCGCTAACCTCCCTAGGCCTCTGGCTGGAGGGGCGGGTGAGAAAAAACGTTGAATGTATTTTAATCTTGACACAACTGTAGGAGGAGAAGGGGGGGGGGGCAGGGACGGATAACAGGGCAACAGTTGGTATGAATTTAACCAATAATTGTCTACACGGCATGTCAGTTCTCACTTGATTGTGTTTGAAACTCTAGCAGATGACCTGGGGGAAAATGTCGAGTTTTGAGACTAAAAAGATATCCTACTCATTAAAACGAAAGTTCCAATAGTCCCCGGGCGTTAGCTGAGACAATTTGGTTTCATTATTAAGTTTAAGAGTGTTTATATTTGTTTTAAGAAAAGGATGGGGGGGGGGGCGCAAATTGTTCAAATAATTCCACGCTATAATTGAATTATGCAAGGGACGTTACTAATCTTTAAAACACTTTAAAGAGTAGCCCCCCCCCCCCCCCCCCCCCCAACCCCCATCCCCCCCCCCCCTTTGGATACGCTGCTGGGGGGGGGGGTTCCGTGAGTTTACCACAAAATTGAATTTTGTGATCTAAAAACCTCGCTATTATTTACATTCTTTCACAGTCAACTAAACGTAGGGCAAAATAACAAACCAACCCAAACAACTCCAGATTGTCAATGTTCAAATGTGCGTGCTACTATCACGACCATGTCTATGACTGTAAGACATGTTGTGGAATGTGTTTTATGTGCACAGCTTTGAAATCCCATTTTCCGCCATGTTAGCATTTTGTGTGTGTGTGTCTGTTACACTCAGCTGGTCTCTAACACGTGTACCGCCTTGAACCCGTGCCACGAGTTGGCACCATCTATTTAGAGAGGGTAAGAGAGCAAAAAAACAATGACCCAAAACAACTCAAGTCTGCTTTTAATTGTTTGTGTGTGTTTTTTTTTTTTTTAAATCTCCGAAACTTCAAATTATGTCAAATGTTTGATGTGTGTGAGAGCTCTGCGTGAGTTCACATAGGGCTAGATACTAATACAACGACAGCTGCTAGAATTGTATGTATTTGTAAGGGTCTGAGGTTTGTATTTAAGTTTCAAGGGAGGACAAATAGGAAGGAAGCTTAACAGCATTTACTTCTTTACGAGTTTTTTTTTTTTTATTCTGGTCGGAAAAAGGGGGGTGATTTTTAAATTTTTTTAAATTCAATTTATTTTTGTTGGGGAAGGGAAATTAATCTTTGTATTAAAACAAGATTTCACTTGATATAATGATTTCTCTTATGTTGTATGTCCAGTGAACATACGTTACCTGAAAAGCAAAGGCACGCCTACAAACACAAGCAACTTTAGGTCGTCGCAAGGCCTCCATCTGTACGCGCGGATATTCACGGGCACGCCCCGCGCAAAGAAGGGGACATAATCCATACATACGACATAACAAGTTACTATTACGTCCTGCAGGTTACCGATAATCTCCCTTTTGTTAAAGGCTAGGAAACTCTACGCTCCCGACTTGAACTTGAGCAGAAGTGGGACGTCATTCTCAAACTGGTAAAAGGAGTACAATCCCGTACTTGTAACAACACCATTGGAGGGGGGGGGGGCGGGTATGATACTGAAGATGGAATACAACATGGGGCGCGAGTCTCAAACTGATATACATGTGCACTGTGCGGCATGAGACACGTTTCTATGAAATGGAAATTACATATTAGAATGTGTGTCACTGGGTCATGTTAGTTAATTAGGGAGGATTCAGTTTTATTTTTTACTCGCACAGCATTCTCACAAACATTTCTACTTATGCCAGCACACTTTGGGAACCGCTGGATCTATTTAAGAAATGTGTTTTGTTGTGCGTGAAATCGAATTACGGGGATTTTAGCCGTGTGGATTAGTGTAACATTCGGTTTAAAGTAGGCCTATGTGGATACTGTTACATAATATGGATGTGTACATAGTTCATTTAGCGTTGCGGTTTTTGTTCCCCTCCATATGCGAGGAATAGTAATAAAATATGTTAGTTATATATTCGCATGCATAATCTCTGCTGCAGGACTTAATTTATTATACCATGGACCGGATCTCACAAGTACTAATCACGGAGGGAATCACATGAGCATGTGTAAATTACAATTATATTGTATGAGGTATGAGTACATTACCAATGAAGAGATGACATTAGTACATGACCATAGAAATCCTCCAAAGACACGGCAATGTTCGTCCTTGAGCTGTATTTTATGTGAGGCAAGAGTTGCTCAGTTCGTCAACCTCACTGTCTCCTCCTCGTCTTGCTTTTTCAAATGGTAAGACTTAGCCAAGACGACTGGGAAATAGATCATACTGAGTTGCCAGAATTTTCATTGTGTTTTGTTGTTTTTTTTGTTGTTGTTGCTTGGCCAGACTTTTGCTAGGGATCGAACTCCGGTCCACAAACTTGGGATTGGATCAGTACGACCACTCGGCCACTCTACCACTAATGACTTACCACACTACCTTCTCACTCAATGCTCAGACTGTAAACGCTAACAATATAGCGTGTACCCAAATGACAAGACTGCAGACACTACGTCATAGCTACAAAACTGCACTCAAAACACATCTCTTTAAACTATACCACCCTGACTGATTCGTCCTCCTCTGACCGATAATGATCTTGTTGGCTGCCGTCCATGATTTGCCTTGTAAAAGTCCTGGGGTTCATGCTGTTCTTTATATCAAAATTGTATTTGATTTTAATGTCATGATTATGTCTCTTTTGATAATATTTTTATGTACAGCGCGGTGAGCCCAGCCCTAGGCTGGGGTACCGCGCTATAAAAGACCACTAATTATTATTGTTATTATTATTACATAAAAATCGCGCCACAGTACGTCGCAAGCCTGATGGCGCCAAAAAGCGTTCATTAACCAAAGTAAAACACAAGACACACGGCGCACAATAAATCACCCCATTCGGTGCGAAACAATTTCAAGACAGTGGAATTCTCGTCTCTGAATCAAAAAACCTTGTGGTAGACCAAGGATATTCAGCTCTAAAAAAAAAAATCATATTGAATTTCTATATTACAGTAAACAGCGCGATGATGTAGTCAGTGATTGAGAAAAATGACATTTGGCTAAAAAAAAAAAAGGGGGGGGGGGGGGGTCGAGGGGCTAAGATCAAGAACTCTTTGAGATCCATAACAATGGTTTAAGTTATCTGCATTTTTTTAAACCTCAAATTTATGTGTCTATGTTTAGTAGCTGATGCCTTGTGTGCATGTGATTTCACTATTGTGAGACTGGCATTATATAAACCAACAAATTTCAAGATATATTATAATATAATTCCTAAGCGCATCTTGTCCGCCCCCGCTCTCATTGCGCAAAGCGATGCGCTCTCATTTGCTGCTTCCCCCGTCGTACGCACAATAAGCACTCAAAATAACACCGATAGAGTCAACACAACTAAGCATTGGTGGATATATGGAACGCCATCTGGAATTATTATTATGAAGCATGCTCTTCTTTCCGTATTATACTCACGCAACGGGGTTACTTTGACACAGCTAGTAAATAACAACAAAAATGTACTACCAGCATCGTCTTGATAAAATAGTACTTAAATATGCCAACAGATCGTCTTATTATTTCAAACTTTCACAATTTTTTTACGTGATTTTCTCGTTTATTATTTCCATGTTTAAGCCCCTGCCATTGTTAATCAAGTAACATTGTCATTCAATAAAATAAATAAAAAAAAAAAAAAAATCTGGATATGTATGGAACACTCCTGACTCTTATGGAACACTCCTGACTTAACATCTCTTATGGTTTGTATAATTTTCCCCAAGGAGGAATCCTATTAGCTCTCTCATATTTGCCAATCATTGTTAAAAAAATAAATTTAAACACAAAATTAATTCTTTTTAAAATACTTATTAAATTATTAAATTTCAAGGACTCGGATATCTATTACTACCAATATTTTGAGAGAAGTTGACCCAATTTCTCCTTTCTCAGACCTAAGTCCCAGTGTTTTCGTTAATGCGCAGAAGAGCAAGTTAATTGAACACAAAATATTCATGAATCTATTTTTTTTTTTTTTTTTTTTTTTGGTCGTTTCAGTTAACAGTAACAGCCTAGAGGTAAACATTAGTTCCACCAGCAATTTTCCCGATCACGAAGAAGTGGCAAACGTTTTACTTACTTTCATCAGAAATTCGATTATTATACAGAGCAAGTGTTAAGACCTGTTAACTGTACTTGTAAGTCAATTTATCTCCTCCATAACGAAAGAATCCTAGCAACGCCATACTTCATACATCGCGTACGCTATTCGTCCTTTTAAAAGGAAAATATCCCCCCCCCCAAATATCCCCCTCTCTCTCTCTCTCTCTCTCTCTCTCTCTCTCTCTCTGTGTGTGTGTGTGTGTATATCTCTATCTCTTTCTCATTTATTTAACCCCCCACCCCTTTAAAAGCCCAAACGCCCTCTTAAAAAAAAGATAAAAAGAAAGAATATTAAAAAAAAAATAGAGAACGAATTAACTGGGAATTATCACTGTTTTTCTTTGTTCCATTTAAGTTTATCTTGACTATGAAAGAATGACTTCAGAAAGGTATAAGCTGTCGCAATCGTACAAGTTGATGCACCCTTATCCCGTCTCATGATGGGGTGGGTGGAGGGGATATACAATTATTTATCTTAACGGATTGAGGATTGAGGCGAAGACGAAGACTTAACAGATAATAATAAAGAATCCAAGATAAGAGATTAGCAATTGGAAAAGGAAGTAAGGGGTGGGTGGGTTGAGGTGGAAATAAAATGTATTGTGTACCTATCAGTAGAACTTACCTGTCAGTTCCCATGTGTGCTCAATACCTGATGCGCGTGTTGGAGTGACATTCCCCGGCTCGCACACACATACATACACACACACTCGCACACAGGTACACGCACACACCCACACTAACACACAAATACACATACACACCAAACCTTAGAGGAAGTGAGAAACTAACAAACTTGGCCCCCGTCCAACTTTGAAATCGAAATCCGTGGCAGCACCCTGGCCAGGAATTGTTGGCATCGTCTTTGCCCTGGTGGAGATTTCGGCGAGTGATGTGTGTCGTGTACGGGGGGAGGGGGGTGGGCGCTAAGATATGAAATTATCGATAAAGCGTTCAAAATACATATCTTTGACAGTGTCCTTTTGCCTGGCTTTGCTGGAATTATTGGCTCTTTGCACTTTTTTTTTTTTACAACGCTTCGTGGTCTGCTGTTGTAAAATAAAATAAAATAGTTACAACTTACTAATTAATGTGTCCGTGTAAGTATTTTTTACAATAAAGGTTACATTTGTTGAGAAGATGAACTCGTGACAGCCCATCTCCTTTTAATTTGCCACCGAGCGCACCAACCTCTTTACTATGTTACTTCACGTGTTACACACCACTACCCCCTCTCCCCCCCCCCCCCCCCCCACCCCCATGATACATCACAGCAAACTTTTTATTTCACGCCCATTAACTATATTAAATATTCTGATGTCCCAGCCGCGTTGAAACCGAATATTTTTCCACCGTATTTAAATTGAGAAAATTTCATCTTCCGAAAAGAAAATATTATGCACCAAACGCAGTTACGTTATATGTAAAAAAAAAAAATCATTTAGCTTAGGTATCGGGAATTATATTTTGCGCGCTATTGAACTCATTATTGAACGATACTTTCTTTCAAATATTTAGAATTATTTTTAATATACTCTCACTACCCAGTACGCTGATTAGGAAGCAGTCCACGAGTCACACCAGAAGCGTAACATATGTACGAGATCCTCGGGTTTTAAATCACATTTTTACACACCCCGTGGTGCACTTAAAAGTTTACCATTTTACGCACCAAATGCTACGCACCACTGCTACAAATAACTTTTCTGTCTTCCCCAGACAACAGACGCTGTCACCACCGCCCCGCTGAAGCTGATAGTCAGCACAGTTGATCAGGTGGGTCTTGTCTTTGTTCTTTTCATCGTGTGTGACCATATCTTTCTAGTATTTCTCACCATTTTGCTCATGTGTGCGTGAGTGAATGTGTGTGTTTGTGTGTATGTGTCACCATGTCTTTCTAGTATTTCACACCGTGTTGCTCATGTGTGTGTGTGTGAGTGAATGTGTGTTTGTGTGACCATATCGTTCTAGTATTTCACACCATGTTGCTCATGGCAGTGTGTGTGAGTGAATGTGTGTGTTTGTCACCATATCTTTCTAGTATTTCCCACCGGGTTGCTCATCAAGATATAATACAGTGCCTATAAAGCATGTGTGTTGCTATTTTAAAATCAAGTCTAAAATGATACTTTGGGGGGGGGGGGGGTGAAACATCCACACATGAGATTGATTTCATTGTACTTAGATCCGAGAATAAATCTAGACCTACGGCATGATGGTAACAACATCACATAAACCAAAGTTAATGGTATGATGGTAACAGCATGTCACACAACCCATACACCGATGGTATGATGGTAACAACATCACATAAACTAAAGTCAATGGTATGAGAAAAAAAAACAACATCACATAAACTAAAATCAATGGTATGATGGTAACAACATCTCATAACGTCAGAATCACCGGAGGATGGGTATTAACTTTCACTAAGCTAGATCAGGGGGTTGGGATCAAGCGGCTGGTGAGCCGCATGTTGCTCTTTCATCGTTCTCTTGTAGCTTTTGGATGCTGCTAGTTCCTAGATCAAAATTTAATATTTGGCTCCTCTTGTCCTAAGACGGTTCCCGAGACCTGATCTTTAGATCAGTGTTATGGCGGTAACAACGTCACGTGACACAATGACTCTTATCACCTTCCAGGAGCCTTTCATTACCCGCGAGCCCACCGCCCAGGGGGAGAAGTACAGTGGCTACCTGGTCGACCTTCTGAACGAGGTGTCCAGGCGGGCAGAGTTCACCTACGAGTTCAAGCAGTCGTCAGATGGAACCATCGGGGCGAACAGACCCACCGGCTGGACTGGGGTCATCGGTGACGTCATTTCCGGGGTGAGTGGACAATTTTCAGGTTGTCGTTTTTTTTTCTCCATAATTATACTGTGCGGTCATGCTAGTTCATTGTTTTGCGTTTTCACATTCACATGCCTAAAAAATGACTTTACAACTGTTTCCGGTATCAGAAAGCCGATATTGGCGCCACGGCCTTGACAGTGACCCCACAGAGGGAGGAGGTCGTTGACTTTACCAAGCCATTCATGTCCAACAGCGTCAACCTTCTCGTCCAAAAGCCCACGTGGACTGACCTTGGCCTTGGCTATCTAGTCCGACCTTTCTCAGCTGGTGAGTCTTTTGACAGATTAAATTATACATATTTATATACATATATATATATTTATATATTATTTTGTTGCATTTGTAACTAGCTAGCTCAAAGTGCTGACCAAAACAATACATAGAAATGCAAATTTTCACCCCAAGAAATAAAATAAATATTACAGAAGCCTTGGCCTTAATTCTGAATCATACAGAAAGACGGGGAATGCTTGAGTAATCTGATCTCTATTACAGCTAAGAAACGTAAGAAGTTATTTTAAAGAAATATTTATTTCGATTTCAGCTAATAAATATAATAAAGCATCTATGGTTTCTAAAAGCGAACAAATAAACACACAGCCAACAACAAATGCAAGCGAAACAACTCATCTCTTAAGATTGTGGTAAATTTGTTAAGAATTTGAAAGAGGAGGCAATAGCACATTATAAAAATGCAGCCTTTTTAAAAAAAAAATGGTTGTCTCGCTTGCTCACACTTATCCTGTTAATTTAAACATTCGGACACTGCTCAATGTCCTGAAAATGCAACACAGATCCACAGTTCGCCTATCCAAGCAATAGTTTCAGGTACAGGACAGTTATGGAGGCTTTTTGGAACTGACATAATAAACATCGTGCACCCCATTATTTTTTTTTTTATAATATATAATAAATGGATACATTAATCATACCATACTTTCTTACAACATGCGACATAGCTATAGATGGACTTAAGAGAACATTTTCAACATTCTTTATAAAGCATCGAAATCCTTTTGCAAAAATCCTATTTGGTATGATATAAATAGTGGAGCAAGGTAAATGTGGAATTTTTGACAGGATCCCCCCCCCCCCAAAAAAAAAAAAAAAATTTGAAAAAATCCTATTTGGTATGATATAAATAGTGGAGCAAGGTAAATGTGGAATTTTTGACAGGATCCCCCCCCCCCCCCAAAAAAAAAAGAAAATTTCGGCTCAGAAGACAGGACAAATGAAGAAGTGAGGAAGGCTCTTAAACGTTATTCTTTTATTGTCCTGTCTTTCTATTTCAAGCCTCCACACAAATCTTGTTCTGCTATTTGCTTCACACAGCTTGAACGCAGTCCTTCATTTATTATCCTTTAATATGATGTGAGACTAATTGGAAACTGCTACATTCGCCAGTCAGGGCCGGGTCAGGGTACCGGCAACTCGGGAAGTTCCCCGGGGCGCCATGTGCTTAGGGTGCAACCAAATATCTTCCAAAATAGGAAAAATCAGTGCACGTGGGCGCCATGGACGAAAAATGGAAAGTGTAATCAAATGAATTGCCGTTCTAAATGCTAGAAAAAATAAAATGTCATTGGTAGGCAAATTGTTCATTTTTCCCACAGTAGGCTAATTGTTCATTTTTCCCACAGTAGGCTAGTTGTTCATACTGCCCACGGTAGGCTAATTGTTCATTTTTCCCACAGTAGGCTAATTGTTCATACTGCCCACAGTAGGCTAATTGTTCATACTGCCCACGGTAGGCTAATTGTTCATACTGTCCATGGTAGGCTAATTGTTCATACTGCCTACGGTAGGCTAATTGTTCATACTGCCCACGGTAGGCTAATTGTTCATACTGCCTACGGTAGGCTAATTGTTCATACTGTCCAAATACAAGTAAAGAAAAGCAATTTGATTTTACATTGTTAACTAGGTAATAAACTCATCAACTAATCCACAGTTTTTTTCCTCGCACACTTTTTTATGATTATACTTAAAAGGGGAGTCAAATTTAAGCTTGCCCGGGGCGCCAGCAACCGTAGGGCCGGCCCTGACGCCACTGGTGCACTGAGGTATGACTTTCCTCTAACCCTCCAACAAACCTCTACACCTACACACACTATGACCTTTGACCCTACTCACCCCACTTCCATGACCCTACCTCTGACCTCTGACAGACTACTGGATCATGATCCTGGTGGTCCTACTGCTCATCGGCATCGTGTTCTTCATCATCGGCAAGTTCAGCCCGTACGAGTGGGGCAACGTGGCCGCCGACCGTGATCCCAGAGGGGCGAAAAACAGCTTCACCCTGAGGAACAGCTACCTCTTCGTCCTCAGTACACTCACATGGCAAGGTTGGTGTGCATGTACATGTGTACGCGCTGTTCATCTGTGTACATGTTCTGTTATTAGGTATAAGTACTAGAATTCGAAAAAGATACTGTATTGTTTTAAATTGGAAATTATTCTCATCGATTAGAGGCAACTTAAAGTTTTTTGGAGAAGATAATTCTCACTCACATCATGGGATAACCAGAAACAATTTTTTGTGTGCTCAAGATCAGCATTTCCCAAACGTATGTTTTCGTGACTCTGTTATTTTTATACTTCTCCTTCGTGGCCCATTAACATTTGTATCGCCTATACCGGCATATAGGTTATATACTACTGATAGGAATGTCCACACAGCTTTCGTATATCATGATAAAGCTTTTACTCGTACAAGACTAAATACGTCACACTTCCCCCAAAATTGTATTAACGGGTATATCACGATAATCTAACCAAGATTTTAAAACTTCCTTTTTTTTTTTAAACTTTCCTCCGTGACCTGGTAAGTTTGCTTTTGTGGTCCGGTACCGGGTCACGACCCGGCATTTGGGAAACGCTGCTCTAGGTGCAGAATACCGCAGCACGCATTGTACCGCGGATAACGAAATCTGACCACATGATCACCCCAGTTCTTAGGGATCTCCATTGGCTTCCTGTAAGTGAGCGCATTAACTAGAAAATTCTGTCCCTGGCGTACAGCTGTATTGAAGGCTCTGTCCCTAGCGTACAGCTGTATTGAAGGCTCTGTCCCTGGCGTACAGCTGTATTGAAGGCTCTGTCCCTGGCGTACAGCTGTATTGAAGGCTCTGTCCCTGGCGTACAGCTGTATTGAAGGCTCTGTCCCTGGCGCACAGCTGTATTGAAGGCTCTGTCCCTGGCGCACAGCTGTATTGAAGGCTCTGTCCCTGGCGCACAGCTGTATTGAAGGCTTTGCTCCGGAATATCTTAAAGAACTGATTTATAAACACGTATCCTTAAAGATCCTGCGGTCTCCAACACAGTCCTTAATGAGAGTTCCCAGTGTGGATGGACACAGTGCGGTCTCCAACACAGTCCTTAATGAGAGTTCCCAGTGTGGATGGACACAGTGCGGTCTCCAACACAGTCCTTACTGAGAGTTCCCAGTGTGGATGGACACAGTGCGGTCTCCAACACAGTCCTTGCTGAGAGTTTCCAGTGTGGATGGACACAGTGCGGTCTCCAACACAGTCCTTGCTGAGAGTTCCTAGTGTGGATGGACACAGTGAGGTGTCCAACACAGTCTTTGCTGAGAGTTCCCAGTGTGGATGGACACAGTGCGGTCTCCAACACAGTCCTTGCTGAAAGTTCCAAGTGTGGATGGACACAGTGCGGTCTTCAACACAGTCCTTACTGAGAGTTCCCAGTATGGATGGACACAGTGCGGTCTCCAACACAGTCCTTACTGAGAGTTCCCTGTGTGGATGGACACAGAACAAAGTCTTGCGGAGTGCGCTCTTTTGAAGCGATAGCACCAAATTATGAAACAGCTGCCCCAATCTTTGAGGGAAAATGAAAATGATAAAAAATCATTTAAGAAACATTCAAAGACATTTTTTAAATTTAAATAGATTTTAACAACATCAGAGAGCCTTGAGCATGCTAAAGTAGCATGGATACAAGCGCTATATAAATATTCAATTAAATTCAACTTCTAGCCAACGTGTTTTAGATCTAGTGGAATAGATAAATGGGGTAAATATAGTTGTCTTGAAAATTATTTAAAAAGCAACCTGTTCAGTAGAGAAAACAGTACTAAACAAGATGTCACAATGGATAGTTCTTATCTGCAGTACTAAACAAGATGACACAATGGACAGTTCTTATCTGCAGTACTAAACAAGATGTCACAATGGAAAGTTCTTATCTGCAGTACTAAACAAGATGTCACAATGGACAGTTCTTATCTGCAGTACTAAACAAGATGTCACAATGAAAAGTTCTTATCTGCAGTACTAAACAAAATGTCACAATGGACAGTTCCTATCTGCAGTACTAAACAAGATGACACAATGGACAGTTCCTATCTGCAGTACTAAACAAGATGACACAATGGACAGTTCCTATCTGCAGTACTAAACAAGATGACACAATGGACAGTTCCTATCTGCAGTACTAAACAAGATGACACAATGGACAGTTCCTATCTGCAGTACTAAACAAGATGACACAATGGACAGTTCCTATCTGCAGTACTAAACAAGATGACACAATGGACAGTTCCTATCTGCAGTACTAAACAAGATGACACAATGGACAGTTCCTATCTGCAGTACTAAACAAGATGACACAATGGACAGTTCCTATCTGCAGTACTAAACAAGATGACACAATGGACAGTTCCTATCTGCAGTACTAAACAAGATGACACAATGGACAGTTCCTATCTGCAGTACTAAACAAGATGACACAATGGACAGTTCCTATCTGCAGTACTAAACAAGATGACACAATGGACAGTTCCTATCTGCAGTACTAAACAAGATGACACAATGGACAGTTCCTATCTGCAGTACTAAACAAGATGACACAATGGACAGTTCCTATCTGCAGTACTAAACANCTATCGTCTACATGTCACACAGCCGAGATTTATACAATCACACTATCGTCTGATTGATTGATACTATGAAATGTTGATCATTTAAACGTTTTCTGATTTATTGACCATACATATTATAAATAGTGTTGCGTCCATATAACCATTTTTTGTTTGTTTTATTTTGTTTGAACAACAGGCCTGAACAGATGCCAAATATGCCTTTTAGGACTTACGAAGAACTTTTCGAGAGCTCAGATATCCGTGTTGGTGCCTTAAGCTTTGGCTCCACGGAGGTAAGTGTGCAGCACCCGACAACTAACCAGTGTAAATAGACATGATATTTTCGCTACGCCAAATGCAGGAGAAATGTCGTGAACAGTATATGCCTCTTTATATTGCCTTCATAGACCTGACCAAGGCATTGGACTCGGTAAGTCGAAGAGGCCTTTTCAGTATCTTGCAAAGAATAAGTTGTCCCCCACGACTGCTCACAATAATACAGTCATTTCACAAAAACATGCACAGCACAGTAACTTTCAATGGCACTGTCTCTGAGTCATTCCCAGTTAGCAGCGGAGTAAAACAGGGTTGTGTACTAGCACCAACTCTCTTTTCCATTTTCTTTTCAATGCTCCTTCAATTTGCCTTCAGTGACTGTGAAAATGTAGTGTACGTCCATACAAGATCTGATGGAAGACTGTTCAATATCGCCCGCCTTCGTGCAAAGACCAAAGTAAAAAAGGTGCTGATTCGTGAACTGCTGTTCGCTGACGATGCCGCCTTAACATCTCACACAGAAGAAGGTCTGCAGGGGCTGGTTAATCGTCTATCACACGCTTGTAAAGAGTTTGGCCTTTCGATTAGTCTACAGAAAACTCATGTAATGATGCAAGAAGCACCGTCCCCTCCAATCATATCTATTGAGGGTCATAACCTTTCGGTTGTTGATCATTTCATATACCTGGGATCCAATATTTCTAGTTCTCTCTCCGTTGATGAAGAGATAAATATCAGGATCACAAAAGCAGCAGCTCCTATGGCTAAACTGAATAAGTGGGTGTGGAATAATCTCAATCTAACTGATAAAACAAAAAATAAGTGTCTATCAGGCATGCTAACTTAGCGCGCTCCTATATGGACCACATATACCAGTCAGGAGCGGAAACTCAACAGCTTCCACCAAAGATGCCTGCGTCGCACTTTGCTCATTCGTTGGCACGACAGGGTGCCTAACGTAGAGGTTTTGGAACCTGCACACATGTTTAGCATATTCTCCTTTCTTATCAAGAGGCGCCTTCGCTGCTAAGGTCATGTATGGAGAATGGAGGAAGGACGTATCCCAAAGATACTGCTATATGGAGAGTTGGCAGAGGGGACAAGACATATTGGACGACCGCGTCTGAGATTTATTGACGTTTGCAAACGAAGCATGAGGGAAGCCAATATTGAAACAAACGAATGGGAGTTCATTGCCGAACAAAGCTCCGAATGGTGAACAGTAGTGTTTGAAGGAGTAAAAATAGGCAGAAGATACTCGAAACGAGGCCCTTGAATCAAAAAGAGCAATTCGGAAATCAAGATCTTACCGGGATTCAATATTCTCCTGCGAGAGATGCGGCCGTGATTACCATTCTAGGATTGGCATAGTGAGCCACTCGTCAAAGTGTAGAACTATATAGCTACTCTATCGTCTCACGTAGACGGAAGGATGCCATATAACCAGTGTAAATAGAACCGACAACTAACCAGTGTAAATAGCACAGACAACAAACCAGTGTTATTAGCACCGACAACTAACCAGTGTGAATAGCACCGACAACTAACCAGTGTGAATAGCACCGACAACTAACCAGTGTGAATAGCACCGACAACTAACCAGTGTGAATAGCACCGACAACTAACCCGTGTAAATGGCAACGACAACTCATCACTAGTTTAAATACCATAAATAACTAACCAGTGTAAATATCTTTGTATCTTAATTCATGGTAAATTCCTGCTATGGATCGCCCAAGCTGGCGAGGAAGACTCACCTGGTTGAAGCACATCAAAAGGCTAAACCGCTAATTGCCAAGGAATCCGCACAGCAAGAAAAATCAAAATCGTCTCTAATCCCTCTAGGAACCTCCACCCCCACAGTGTGTCCTAAATGCAGGGAAGCTTTCCATGCACAAATCGGACTGTCCGGCCACCTGCGTACTCACCGTTGAATATAGCCTTGTTCATTTTCGCATGCCAAGGACGAACAACAACAAGTCTATATCTGATGCACCCACCTTGTTCTGTCGAACGCCAAGATTTAACCCAAAATGTTAACGAAGTGATAGAATAGACCTACATCTCTCACCCGACGTCTAGTTCAACTATTTTTGGACACAGAGCTGTTTCATTAAATGCCGTCACCATTTCCAATCCAAGGCCCGATGCATTTGATATTTTAAACAAATATTTATCTATTTTTCCCTGCAAATGAGAAGGATGAATCTCCCCCCCCCCCCCCCCCCCCCCCCCCCCCGTTTTTTCCCCGCCAACCCATTTTAAAAAAATAAAGGAATAGTTATACAGATAAAAATAAAGGAATAGTTATACAGATAAAAATAAAGGAATAGTTATACAGATGAAAGTAAAGGAATAGTTATACAGATGAAAGTAAAGGAATAGTTATACAGATGAAAGTAAAGGAATAGTTATACAGATAAAAGTAAACATTCTATTCATCACAATAAAGGTCTCACAAAAAAAAGCAAATACATTCTGCAGCAGGAAGAAAATGACGCCCCTCTATGCATAGAACCCCCACCCCCCTCCCCGCTTTTCCGGGGCGGATCTACCCACTAACGAACCTCTTCTTACACCAGTGAAAAGAACTTTAAAATTTTTTTTTTTTAACAAAGGAAACATTTCTTAACGTAGTATAACAAATTAAATGCCACTAGGACCAGTAAACAAAACGAATTTAAAACAAACAGAAGGTTTTAAAACTTACCTAGCAGGAATAATTAGAACAACTTATTATTTTAATTTTTTTTTTTTATTTCAATCTCTGTATGTTTTATCTCAAAGTATCAATTGAGGACAAGTCGTGGTACAACGCTGAAGGCACTGTACAACAAAATCAGCTCTCAGAACACCTGGGTGGAGAGCTACAAGGAGGTAAGCGAAACATAAGGGGAAGGGGGGAGGTGTCACAAGAACGAAAGCTGTCCAGTCTGGCATTACAGATGAAAGAAATGTTCGGGGAGCCGTCATTTTTTTTTTTTAATATTTATTTCTTAAAATGTTAATATTAATAGTGGGGCCATTTGACTCAAGGGTGTAAGGGTTCGAGAGTTAGTGGGACCATTTGACTCAAGGAAGATAAGGGGTCGAGAGTTAACGGGACAATTTGACTCAAGCGAGATAAGGGGTCGACAGTTATAAGGAGAATTTGACTCAAGGGAGAAAAGGGACGAACGTTAGTGGGACCATTTGACGTAGATGAGAGGGGGGGGGGCACAATTTTGTCGGCGTCATTTGACTGGGGCCTTACTTTCACAGGGCAATCAACTAAACTAAGGGTTGGTGTGAAAAGATCAGTAATAGAATAAGCCTATATTCTTAAAATGTTTAAGCAAAAATTCCCGGTTACAATTATAACAGCTTTTAATTCTAATTTGGAATTTAACAAAAAAATTATTAGAAGTATCACCCCCCCCCAAACCCCACCCCATCCACGCGCCCTAATCTCACATGCACAAAAATATAAATAAAATTAAATTAAATAATGGGTCTGGACTCCAGGATAAAACTTTTCGTCTGTCACATTTATGTCACAAATTCCTAGTTATTAAATGTTTTGTGAATGTGTTAGTAGATATATTAATATGTGCCAATGTCTACGTATCACAGGGAGTCTCCCGCGTCAAGGCTGCCAAAGGTCATTTTGTTATGTTCATGGACTCCACCAGTGCCGAGTACTTCGCCAGGCATAACTGTGATCTCATGATCTACGGTGAGAACCTCTTCCCCTCATCGATGGCCTTCGCTGTCAAAAAGGGATCCGTCTGGAGGTAAGTTAAAAATGGGGGCGGTTTGTCTGTTTGAAGCCAGGGGCGCCAGCATCAGGGTGGGGAGCCAAATTCGTCTTACAAATGAAATGGACATTTGTTGTTGAATGTAGATTTATCTGGTCCGAGTGGTATAGTAATGGACCTGTTTAGTTCAGGGGTACATTAAATATAGAATGATAAATCTAGTCATCAAGTATGTTTATAAAGAAATGCTCGTCTTGTCCTTCGTATGTTAAGAGATGGGTTTTATGTCCATAGAAAGCAGAAGAAAATGTTGTTCGTTTCTAGGGAGCTTGTGATAACTTTAGGAATATTATACATTGAAAATAGCATCTCTTTTCTGGAAAAAATGTGGTTTGCCCGTCGCACGCGAAGATAACAAAGCCAATGTTTGACTATAGTGGCAGCCTTGACTTCAGCTGTATTTTTTTATAGATAGTGGGGGGGGGAGGGGCGTTGTTCAGTTAGTCAGCCTCACTCTCTCGTCCTTGCCTATTTGATCCATTGGCAAGACTCAGTCAAGACGACAGGAAATAGACCAGGATGCAGTAGATGTGGTTTGCCCGTCGCACGCGAAGATAACAAAGCCAATGTTTGACTATAGTGGCAGCCTTGACTTCAGCTGTATTTTTTTATAGATAGTGGGGGGGGGGGGGCGTTGTTCAGTTAGTCAGCCTCACTCTCTCGTCCTTGCCTATTTGATCCATTGGCAAGACTCAGTCAAGACGACAGGAAATAGACCAGGATGCAGTAGATGACACCCTGTGTTGTTGTTAATTTTTTTTTTTTATTTGAGTGTTAAAATGTCTTCTTCGAGTTTAGAAGTTACCTCTATTTCCATTGAGTCAATGTCATACTGCCTACGGGATTCCATCTCCGGGTTTGATTTCAGATTTTTTTTTTTTTTTTCATGAAAAGTACATACAAGAGTGAAGCAAGTGTACACCAACTCGAAACAATCTTGGGTTCAACCTCATTGGAGTTAGAAATATATGTTATGAAATTTGTGTATGTTTACCGATTATTTGGAAAAACTTTAATGTAGAGCATTTACAAGTTACTGTTGAATTTAAGGAACAAGATCAACGATGCCCTCGTTGAGCTGCAGGAGGAAGGTTTCTTGACCCAGCTTAAGGACAAATACTGGCGTTTCAGTGGAGCCTGTTCCAACATTGACGGCAGGAAGTTCCAGGAGACAGGTAAGTGGCACGGTGTCACTGTAACAGATTTGTTTATCATAGAACTACCGAATATTGGGGCTTTACCTGTAGAAATCAGGGTGGCCTTATGATCATTTAACAAAGTCATATTGACAAACCCGTTAGGATATTTACTTATAATTGTTTTTTAGCTTTTTAAGTTTATTTCTAAATTTGGGGAGAACAAAAAAAAGTACTCTGTATAAAAAATTGATTAAATCTTTGTTATAGAGTGTGTGTTCACGTAGTTTTTGTTCACCACAAATCATCTCATTCAACTGTACAATCCCTCCCTATTTTGTATTTTGATAGAGACGTCTCCGATTAAATGTGTAGAACCAGTCCATTTGATCCACCCTTCCCTTGACTGGGAAAAGTTTGTTAACGTTCGAATACGTTCTATTTTTTTCTAAAGAATGCTATCAGGTTGCGCTATTTCTAGTGGGTTTTTTTTTTACATGAGTACTCTAACCTTCACACTATGCATAAGACGGCAGCCTTCCAATTGAAAAGAGATATTTGCTATTTTTCCTAGACATTTACGAGACGTAATATACTCTTTATCTGTATACCTAAATCAATATTTGTAGATTTCGAGGATTGTACTTTTTCACGTTCTGTGCCGTAAATTGTTACCTGTATTTTATCTCCGTCCATTTGATTTTGTATTTTATACAACTTTAATCGTACCATTAAATTTAAAAGCGTTAGTATCACTAGCGTTTGGCATCATTTGTCTTTGTGTGCTGGGTTTCACCTTTGCTACCCCTTGTTCAACACCCGAGCCAAACCTTAAAACTGATTAAACCTGCGAAACCCCATTTAACATTTTTGGGCCTTGATATATGTTTAAAATAAAATATTGTTAGTTGTCAAGCCTGATAGAAACCGTTAATAAAGTTTAACTTCTCTGTGTCAATAGTTTAGTCGTGAACAGTGCGTTGGGGACCGGTATTATAAATACCAGGTATTGAAATCAATGGACCGTGACCCACAAGTTGAGATTGTTATTTTTATATACTGAGTCTGGCATTGGCCAACACTGAGTTTTAGTCGACGACGGTCTTAATAATAAATAATAATAAAGTTCATTTCAAAAACACGATTCATCCCCAAAGGCTCGAAGCACGCTACAAAGTCAACAAAAAACAAATCTATAATTTACCACATTTAAAACAAACGCAATACTACAAAACTAATTACAAGCATACCATGTCAAAGTCTTTCAACCCATTTCAACCATGAGCAACACAGCTAATATGCATTAAATGGAAAATATGGTAGACAATCATCCCAGAAAGTGTTTGCGAAATAAATGTGTCTTTAAATCGGTTTTAAAGGACTCCAGTGTCTGGATGTTTCTGAGATCGAGTGGAAGGGCGTTCCAAATTGTTGGACCAGCAAACGCGAAAGTGCGCTTTCCGCAAGTCTCAAGGCGAGCACGTGGTGTCAAGAGTTTGCCACTGTCGGATGAGCGGAGTTGTCTAGTGGGTACATAAGGCGTCAGCAGCTCTTTCAGATAGGACGGTGCCAGGCCATGTAGACAGCGGTAGCACAAAGTTGCGATTTTGTACTCTATGCGAGCACGCACCGGCAGCCAATGCAACTCTCTCAGAAGTGATTTTGCATGGTCGAACTTGCTTTTGCGGAGAACAATTCGAGCCGCATTATTCTGTGCTATCTGAATCTTAGAAGTCAAAAGAAATGTTAGAAGACAAACTTCTTGTTTTTCGTTCATCTCTGCTACTGCAGTAAAATAAACATTTTTTTCTTCTCTTTCCATCCACTGGGTTACCTCTGCACTTTGCCCCATCTACGCCATCATAATCTCTGCTACACTGCAAAAATAAAATCCAAGTATTTTCCTTCCATCCTATGGGTTACCTCTGTACTTTGCCCCATCTACGCCATCATAATCTCTGCTACACTGCAAAAATAAAATCCAAGTATTTTCCTTCCATCCTATGGGTTACCTCTGTACTTTGCCCCATCTACGCCATCATAATCTCTGCTACACTGCAAAAATAAAATCCAAGTATTTTCCTTCCATCCTATGGGTTACCTCTGTACTTTGCCCCATCTACGCCATCATAATCTCTGCTACACTGCAAAAATAAAATCCAAGTATTTTCCTTCCATCCTATGGGTTACCTCTGTACTTTGCCCCATCTACGCCATCATAATCTCTGCTACACTGCAGAAATAAACCCCAAGTATCTTCCTCTCATCAGCTGGGTTCCTCAGCACTCTGCCCATCTACCCGGTCACCCTAAAGGACATGGCGGTCGCCATCTTGTTGCTGTTCCTCGGCTTCATCGCCGCCATGGTCTTCCTGGTCATTGAGATCGTCCACTACGCCGTCACCAAGAAGGTGAGTATTTGGGTGAGTACCATTGGTCAGTCTTGACCAAGGACCAAGGATCAGCGTCTCGCACGACCTGTGAGCTTGGTAACACGGGTGAGCACGTCATCCAGACATGAGCGAGTATTTTTGATGTGACTGTGTATTCGAATACAAATAGCCTTGTTATCAAACACGTATGTTCGAATATTGTTCTTTAAAATATCGATTTATGGACACCATGTAAGTAATCGACTTCATATCTATTTATCCGATTTTCTGACATTTCTTAGATTTTACAAATATTTTCACGCACTCTTTTTTTATAACTCTTAAAATTAAATATCTTCGGTAGCAACAATAAAAACATTTCTTTTTAAATTCATAGAGGTGCCATTAGTTATGGCTTCCATTTTAGCTGTGTAAACTTATTAGCCATGAAAGCTTTTCAACAAATAATAATAATAATATAAATATAAATATTTATATCTAAATTATAAAATAATACTAAATAGATTATTTCAATATTTTCTAAAAGTAAAAATTTGTTTTTTTATGGACTAGACCAGTGGTTCTTAACCTGGGTTCGATCAGTCAGTCTCAGGGGTTCGGTGGAGGTCCAAAAAAAATCAGAAAAAAAACATATTTTATTTTTTCTATTAAGAAGGGTTGGGTGAATGCGCATATGAAACTGGTGGGGTTCAGTACCTCCAACAAGATTAAGAACTACTGGACTAGACGCAATCTTAAAGGTTCAGAAAATGTATTCATAATTAGGATCAATAGATTGAATACACGCTTCTTCGCTCTGTTTATAAATGTATTTTTATTATAAACTCCAGGGCAAGAAGATTGAGCGCCCAAAGATCTTGAAGAACGCCCCCAAGATCTTCCGCCCCAAGACCAAGGCGGCCAAAGCCAGTCCTACTGACGTAGAACTAGGGGAGGAGGCCGGTCCCTCATCTGATGGACTCGAGAGTGTCCCCCTGGAGGACGCCGAGGAGCCCGGAGCCAGCAGTGGTGATGAACTCCGTGGGGAGGAGGCGCAGAAGGCTTAGGTCCCCCTTGTACCAAGATAATTTGTTTAGCTAGGTCTTAATTAACTAAGGTTTCTTGGTCATTTGTAAAAAAAAAAAAAAACTTATTTGTGTAAACCGATTGTGGTTGCATGATTAATTTAATGAGCCCGTTTATTCCAAACTTGAGAGCCAGTGTGTGTCTGGGCTTGTGCTTAACCATCACATGAGAGCCATGACGTAAACTAGTGTAGAATAAATAAATATAACATTCATAAATAAATTGACAACCACCGAAGATGAAAAAAAAAACCTGCTGTTAGATTTTAATGTCGATTAAGCTCTGACGATGGCAAGTCTTGAGAGGATCATTTCAAATTCAAATAATTTTGAATATTTTTTTATAAACTCACCTGAATTTTTTTTTTATTTGTTTGAAATATGACATTAAAGATTAGCACCGGATAAACAATTTTTAACCGCTACCATCATCTTCAACGAAGCCTTTCAGAGATTGAAGTTTAGCTTAGATTTGATTCATCGTTGTGACATGTGATTTGTAAAACTTGTTCTGATTGGCTATGAAGAAGGCGAGTGTAGGAATGAATATGACGTCATTTTCATTTATTGTTTTTAAAAAAAATAGAAATGTTGTGCTATTTTATTTGACATTTTAACTACTTGATAGTTTTATAACTTTTAAAATCTTTTTAATTTGTTTTAACTATTGGAAAATTCCGTGAGGGATTTGATTATGTGATCACAATTTATTTATTTTTTTATTTTACTTTCACGTTGCTTTGTACTTGCGCCTCTCTCACTCTCTCTCTCTCTCTCTCTCTCTCTCCATCTGTTAGTTATGAATGTGTTCCATTATTCTCTTCTATATCTCATTCCATTTTTACGTTATATAAGTGATCCCATTTTATCTTATTTATAGTAATTTTTTTTTTGATTCGCTGCAGAATCGGCTCTTTCCCCTCCCTTTTTTTAAATTATTATTATTGTTTTCTATTCTCATTTTAAAAAAAATATATTTTTTGTTGGTGGTCTATTTATAACAGTATTGTACTGACACTATATGAACATAGCTTTACATGTACAATTTATTTTGCGATGTATGTTTAAATTTACACGGAGTTTAGTTTAAACCTAACACTTTAGATAATGCACGTGCTCCCGAATTTCGTTGACACTTCCACATAAAAGCAACACTAGGGTAAAAGCCTCAGACCGGCTACTCTCAAGCGCATGCGCGATGAGTGATCTGGTCTAGTGCGCTTCCTGTTAGTCACCGCCGATTGGCTGATTCTTGTCAGTTAGACACTTGTCATTAAGTAGGTTGTAATGGATTTAATTAAAATCTAATCAACAGTTTCAAGACTCTGCCACTAGGCTGGATTATTTATTTTTTGAAAACTTGATCCTTATAGTATTATAGATGTTTTTGTTTTTTTTAAATGATGATTTATACACGGCTATAACTGTTACCGTTTTCGGTAAATCTTGCTTTGCTGTTGCAAAATAGATGCAGAAAGATTGCTGAAATACAACTGAAATAGTGCTTAAAATAATGATATCACACATAAAATAATAAGGAATTAACCATTAAAGGGTAGCTTATAGAGTTTTCTTTTCTTTTTCAGCCATTTTCTTGCCAATGAGTCAATTTTTTTTTTAAAAAGAGAACTTACAAAATCGTTTTAAAAGTTTTTTTTTAAAAAAGTGGAAAAAATCAAGTAAATTAACCAAATTGTAAATGTGAAATGGGTTGCTGGAATGTTTTACAACTTTCGAAAGGATTGTGCTAATCCAGTTCTTAAAGATTTGATTTTAAAAAGAAAATTAATATATCGCAGTGAAAATCATTTTAATTTTTTTTTTCTTTTAATTTTGTGGGCCATTTTAACTTTGCAAAAAAATGATAAAACAAAATAAAAATATAACATGATAATTTTATTTTAAGTATTTATTTATTTGGTTCAATATCATTTTCTGGTGGGGGGAAATAATCATCTTTGAATTTAAATCTTAAAATTCTCTTCACATTTCGATAGTTGTTAACTAAGGAAAGTCTTTTATTTGAAGGAAGAAAATGTTTGATAATTAATTTGTTATCATTATTTTTTTTAAAATAATAATACCATTGAAATAGCCAGCAGTTTACCTCGTGTCGCTTTTATGTACATATTTATTTATTTTATTGTTGCGTTTTTAAAGTCAAATTATTGTTTTGTTTATTTTGCTTGCACAGAACTCTTGTCTACTGTTGAGTAGTTTGCTATTTATACTTCAAACTTTATTACAATACGTTATGTATACTTTATGTATATCCTACGTGCCCTGGTGCCTTAAATAAAAAAGCGACGGCATTTTTATTTCATCGTTGGTTTTTTAATTGAGTGGTATATGTCCGAATGTTGACGTCCAAGTGTTGACGTCAGAGTGTTGACGTCCGAGTGTATCCTGTACAAGCTGTGCACTTTGTTTTGATGTCAAAATCGTGTGTGGCGTCTATTGTGATAAATTTCCTTTTAAGTACAATTTATAACCATTTAAAAAAATATATATTATATATATATATTAAAAATTGAGTCAATGGGAGGTAAGTACAACTTTTTTTTTTCAAGTCTATATAAATTTACTCAATTACAACCCCTTATCTGTTTTGCATGCGCTGATTTATGTAAAAAGGATTTTTTTAAAATAATATATATATATAAGAAAAGAAACCGGAAAATGAAAACAAAATATTGACAGTATTATTGAAATTGTCGACTCGATTATACGGACTACTTCTGGTCTGATTATTACACTTGCTTTGTATATAATGGAATACACAAGTTTTTAGATATATCTATAATTATTATGCACATACATTTTTCCTTCTACCTCCACCTGATTGCGGTCACCTCCCCCCACCCCCATCCTCCCTATAATTAAAAAAAATAATAAAGGGTAGGAACAAAATAAACCAAGAAAGGTTTGAACGTGTTAGTAGAGACTACGTGGGGTAGTAGAGACTAAGTGGGGTAGTATAGACTACGTGGGGTAGTAGAGACTACGTGGGGTAGTAGAGACTACGTGGGGTAGTAGAGACTACGTGTGGTAGTAGAGACTACGTGGGGTAGTAGAGACTACGTGGGGTAGTAGAGACTAAGTGGGGTAGTAGAGACTACGTGGGGTAGTGGAGACTAAGTGGGGTAGTAGAGACTACGTGGGGTAGTAGAGACTAAGTGGGGTAGTAGAGACTAAGTGGGGTAGTAGAGACTAAGTGGGGTAGTAGAGCCTAAGTGGGGTAGTAGAGACTACGTGGGGTAGTAGAGACTAAGTGGGGTAGTAGAGACTACGTGGGGTAGTGGAGACTAAGTGGGGTAGTAGAGACTAAGTGGGGTAGTAGAGACTACGTGGGGTAGTAGAGACTAAGTGGGGTAGTAGAGACTAAGTGGGGTAGTAGAGACTAAGTGGGGTAGTAGAGACTACGTGGGGTAGTAGAGACTAAGTGGGGTAGTAGAGACTAAGTGGGGTAGTAGAGACTAAGTGGGGTAGTAGAGACTAAGTGGGGTAGTAGAGACTACGTGGGGTAGTAGAGACTAAGTGGGGTAGTAGAGACTAAGTGGGGTAGTAGAGACTAAGTGGGGTAGTAGAGACTAAGTGGGGTAGTAGAGACTACGTGGGGTAGTAGAGACTAAGTGGGGTAGTAGAGACTAAGTGGGGTAGTAGAGACTAAGTGGGGTAGTAGAGACTAAGTGGGGTAGTAGAGACTACGTGGGGTAGTAGAGACTAAGTGGGGTAGTAGAGACTAAGTGGGGTAGTAGAGACTAAGTGGGGTAGTAGAGACTAAGTGGGGTAGTAGAGACTAAGTGGGGTAGTAGAGACTAAGTGGGGTAGTAGAGACTAAGTGGGGTAGTAGAGACTAAGTGGGGTAGTAGAGACTAAGTGGGGTAGTAGAGACTAAGTGGGGTAGTAGAGACTACGTGGGGTAGTAGAGACTACACACACGCTTGCCACAAACATACCCACACGCTCGCCACAAACATACCCACACGCTCGCCACAAATATACCCACAAGCTCGCCAGGAACATACCTACACGCTTGCCACAAACATACCCACACATTCGCCACAAACATACCCACACGCTCTCCACAAATATACCCACACGCTCGCCAGGAACGAACTTTAGCTCGGAAAAAAAAACCACACACACGCTCGCAACACAAACGCCATAAACACAAGGAATTCTGCTCTGATCCCACACGTCCAAGACGAGTTGTTGTTTTTGCTCAGATTCTGGAAAGATCCCCCCCCCCAACCCCCACCAATCAAAGAATGTGATGTAAATTTGCCAAACACTTCTCGCCAGGCAGTAACAAGGAGAAACACACATGTATGTGACGGTTTTTGGTAGAATGACGTGACATTTCGTATACAACGCGACACCCCCCCCCCCCCCGAAATCCTCTCAACTGGCATGGTCTCCACCGTGAAATAGCATGGCCCAAGACGGTGGGCTGTTACCAAACTAAGCCAGGTCGCTTGCCCCCCCACGTCTTGTCCCGCCATTCATGCTACGCCCGTCCAGACGTACGACTTACGAATAGGGGGCACGCGTGTCTTACAGCTGTTTCGTCCACTGGGTCAGAGGGTTTGGGGGGGGGGGGGCGATCGATACCATTGTGTCTACGACGGTGGCGATACGTTCACTATGTTTGATTACAGGCATTTGGTTTTCCTTTTTAAAACATCCTGTTAAAAGTACAAGGGATCCCGTGATGCAATGGTGTTACAGTGATGACGTCAGGAGATTTACAAATATTGCCATTTTTAAAAATTCCTTTATACATGTATTAACTTTGCTTTTGTTCCTGGGTTTATGTGTGGCAAAACCTTCGGAAGGCTCATTGCAGATCTTCCCGTCTTCCTATTGAGCTGAAACTTGGCACGTAGACTCGTTGCCAATGGTAACACATTCTGTCACATTTTCAGAAAAAAAAATTGCATGTATTTCAAGGGTGGAGGAATGTTAATCGTTGGTTCCGATGGTGCGGGCATTGGTGTGGAGATTAATCGTGTTGCTGTTACTGTTGCTATATGCTTTGTATTTGTGACGTATTTGGGTACGTATGTTCCAAGTCTGACTGAGGCTTGAGCTTAAGGTCTTAAAGCCTCTCGGCTAGTACACTGACAACCAGCAGCATGTGCTGGGATTTGCGGCTAGTAGTACACTAGCAACTAGCTCTATCTGCTTGACTGTGCCGGCTAGTAGTACACTGACAACCAGCAACATCTGCTTGGCTGTGCCGGCTAGTAGTACACTGGCAACAAGCTCTATCTGCTTGGCTGTGCCGGCTAGTAGTACACTGGCAACCAGCAACATCTGCTTTGCTGTGCGGGCTAGTAGTACATTGGCAACCAGCTCCATCTGCTTGGCTGTGCCATATAACATCGTCGTGACATCGGACTCTCTTGCCGCCCTGGCCTGCCCCCGCAACATCCAGTGCAGGGCAGTCAGTCAACAGATTACCCGGTGTCGCCGGGCCCAGGGCGCAATGCCGGCAGGTCGGGTCCCTGTTGATGTCCAGCTTGTTGAAGTATGAGGTGAACTCAATAGAACGAATGTTCAAGTTGAATAATTGAACACGAAGAAAGGTGCCAGATCAGTGAATAAACATGAAGATATACAAATAGATCATGTCATTGTCCTTTCTTGTTGCAGCCTTTTTCTCTGTCGATGTAGCCTTTACTGGTAAACTACAGCTCTCTATCAAGATGAGACAGTGCATGCGAGTTCACGAAAAAAACTTCGGTTGCCCATGTCGGAGTCCAGATCAGATGTTGGTCCTATGATTGTTTCGTGCCTTACTAGACCAACAATATTAATGTCACTGTACAAATTTGAAAATAAAATGCTTTTACTAAAATTATTGAAATTTAGTCGTCCCCCCCCCCTCCCCCCAATCCTCTGTCCGGGCTAATCAATCTAAACCCGTTGTTGGGAAGCACAGTAATACTTCCCAAACCAGTTCTGGTTAAGCACTGTAATACTCCCCAGTTCTGGTGAGGTACTGTAATATTTCACTAACCACGCAGTGTCAGATGAAGACAGAACGAAGCATGCAAACCCCCTGGCCATTGACCTAGGTAGGGACGGGTGTCCAGATTGCCCGGGGTGACACTTTGTTCTTTATATAGGGGTGGCATTTTTCGAACAGTTATACATTTTTCTTGTTTTTTTTTGTCGGGGAAGAGGGTATCTAAGATTTTGTCCCGCCTCGGGCGGCACTAACCGTAGCCGCGCCACTGATCGCTGTTTTAAAAACAAAAAAACAAACAAACAAAAAATGAGAAGAAAACGACGCTCTAAGCTGAAAAGGAAGTTTAAACACCCATACTTTTATTAAAATCGTATAGAACAAAATTTTAAAATTATTCTGACTAATTTAAATTGGCGCTTTCTTTGAACAATTGTGTTGATTTTTTAAATTAAAATTACCAATTAAGGAGGAGAAATAAAATAAAATTTCAGGTAAACGAGTAAGGTCAAGTTTAAATGATTGATTAGACATTGAAACAAAAGGGCGGGTCTTTATCCTATTGTAGCATGGGCCAGAGACATTACAATTTCGCGTCTGGAGAATGAACAACACAATTTCACCGTCGTTGTTGCGTCTCAAGTTACAGATAAACAAACATAGCAACGTGTCCCCCCCCGCCCCCCCCCCGTGAGCTTATTAGTTCCAGATTGGAAGAATACAAGCACGTCCCCTGTTTCGGTTGACCAGCCACAATCATGGAGATCTCTGGAGACCTCAGCCTTGTGCGCTCCTCTCTCCGCCCGCCCCTTCCCCCCATCTCAACCCTCCCACGCCTCCCACGGTCGTCTCATTTTGACTCTCGTGAACCAACACAGGAGGCGCCAAGGACAGCTCACCAACATTACCTCCCTGTTTTTTTTTGGGGGGAGGGGGGGGGGGGTTTGTTATTTTTTTTTTTTTTGGTCGTTTGTTAATTAACATTTCTAGGAGTTATCACCAAAGGTCATCCTGACCTCGTCTTATACCAGGTCAGTGTCCTTCATATTGCCAGGGCAGCAGTTGAACGCGGAAAAGAAATTATATATATATATATGTTAAACACATAGACGCCGGTAATATATATATATGTTAAACACATAGACGCCGGTAATATATATATATATGTTAAACACGTAGAAGCCGGTAATATATATATATGTATGTTAAACATATAGACGCCGGTAATATATATATATGTAAAACACATAGACGCCGGTAATATATATATGTTAAACACATAGAAGCCGGTAATATATATGTATGTATGTTAAACATATAGACGCCGGTAATATAT